TTGGACGGGATTGCAGGGCAGAATTGGAATCCGGGAAATTGTGAGCACCCCCTTGGTACAAAAGCACCCCGAGGTGGCTCGACTCTCTCGCCTAGGTAGACCGCTATAAATAGTCAAAATTACTCGGAGGACCGAGCGGCACGACACGGTGTTTTAGCGGCCATTCTGGAAAAATAAACGACGCGGCCGCGTAGGAAACAGATGACTCGCCACGCGGATGCCAACTCCTCGTTGGAGTGACAGCCGCCGCGCCGTGGCCGACGATTGTTTTTCAGTTTACGTTAACGTTTCGCTTTCGTTCCGATACGGTCGTTGAACGAGGCCTCCGCCAGCTAGCCTTTATTGACTGCCGGTTAAATCGGGCTCGGAGAAGGAGCCTCCTACGGCACTATTCGATTTTATGGGACATCTTCAGTCTTTCTCTCTTTTCCTTCGCGCGACAGGCGACGAGCTTGTTAAAAGGGTAACCGCGAAGCTCCATTCGGCTCGAAGCCGGCGGCTTTTTGCGTCGACTTGTCGCGCGAGGATGACGACTGTCGTCGGAGTCGTCGGATGCACGTTGTCGAGATTGCCTGCTGCCAGAGATTTCATCTCATAAACGCGACCGGCACTTTGCTGCTTAATCGCTCGACGTGCACCGATATCGTCCCGATGAAAGTCTCATTCGCTCTGAACGCACGTTGTCGTCGTCGTCATCGTCATCGCCGACGCGCGATGTCGATATTTCGAGCGATTGCTCACGGCGGAAAAAGAAATATCCGAGTGGCAGAGATCGAGCGAAGGAGGAGGTGGGGTCGCTGATGGTAGTGACGGTGGAGGAGGAAGGAAGGAGGAGGGGAAGGGGGAGCGAGCAGGAGGAAAGGCAACAAAGTATAGCGAGGCTGAGTGAAGGACGGCGCGCAGGGCGGACGCCGGTCTTGTTCAGGGGTAACTGGAATAAGGTATAATTTTCCGCGCCAATTAAGGTCTTTAAGAATTGCGACCAATTGAGCGGGAGGGTCAGAGCCTTAGCTTTAGGGGAGAGATGTACCACCATCCCTCTATAATTTATTATTGATTAGATCGAATCGAGAAAAAGAGGTCTTGGTACGTAGACTTAAGATCGCTCCGGGATCGACTCTCTATGTATAACGAGTCAATGGCGGACGTCGTTTCGCGTCAATTTCCGGCCCGGATGCGTTCGAGGCGCAATGAGAGCGCCTTTGACACACGATCCGTCGTCTGCTTGAGCGAGGAATTGTTAATTACAGTCAGGGCCGGTTGTTCCACCTTCAGGTAAATCACATGGTAATTTATCTAATGAGTGTAAATATCTGACCTAGCGTTGTGTTCCACTTTTCGGTAAGATTTATCTAGGTTAGGTTAGAAACCACACACAGTGGGAGATGCATTTGTTCGGTTTATAGGTTAGATATATTAATGGGTGCATTTCAGCGGAGAAAACCGCTCAGTGAGCGATTAGTGACTATTGGTTCTTACTGTTAGATCCTTACATTCAGACCAATAACGTTGACGAATTGCTCAACAGTTGCGCGACTGTTGAGTGTCGTGAACGCACTCAATCTTTCGCGATAAAGAATTTGAATATTACAGTATCGAAAATGGAACCGGGATTGTACGAAAATGGACTTTTTAAATTTTTGTAATATCGAGATCAATATCTCGATTTCTTTATTAGAAAAATTGGAAGCTCTTTCTTTCTTTTTTTGTTCAGTCATCTATTTAATATAATATTATTAAAATATGTAAAATATTATTGTAAGAGAACGTCTTTTGCTTGTTTTTAATTTTAACAATATATTTATTTATTTAACGCTTCGATACACTATATTACATCATATGTGATGACCCGCAAACTCGCTGGACTTAGAAGGCCCTTCGAAACACAAAAGCCACTTCCTTTTATGCGCATTAGTTTATATTGATTTTTCTCCTTGTAGGTCAATCGCTTCAGATAATATTGTTTTGTGTAATTTTGCGTGTATACGTGTTAGCACAAAATAACAATATGAAATAGATTCAGAGTCTCCTAAACACAATAAATTATAAATCCGTTGACATAACAAACAAATACAAGAGCACGCATTTGGAACGTGTCGAGCTTATTTCTTACATTATTATCTATAATATATTTATTTATCATATCTACGAATAATTGTTATATTTTACTTGTGTATTTTATTATAAAAATATTGTGTATAAGTATTAATTAGTAATAATAGCTTGCCAGAAAATGAAGATTAAGATTGTTGACATTGCATCCAGTGAGAGGTTATATTACTACGTACATACAGCCACTTGAAGTTGCTGACAAACGTTTCCGGAAGTAATTATCGCGATATGTCTCTCTTAAACCGCAGGTGACTATCCGCAGGATAAATAGCCGTAAAACTACCTTTATGTATAGGTAGCTGGTAAATTGCTCGGCAAGATTTACTTATAGATAGTAATCTGTCAACTAAGCTGAGATTTATCGAAAGGTGAAACAATCCAGCTTTAATCTTTTATTAGAATGCGCGCGTAAATTTCCGAACGGCCGGCGTTTTTCCGGTCGTTGTGTAGCCAGAGCGATAGAAAAATATTCGACTTCCACAAAGATATCTTTTTTCTCCTCTATCTAGAGCTTTTTTCTTTTTTATCTAAAAAGTGTGTAGACGTTTCACTGCAATAATGATAATCTTTTTTTGCGTCCTATTAAAGTTCCCGTCGAGCTGATTCTAAATATGTGAGTCTCTTATTTGAGCTTCTTATAATTCTCGAGAAAAATGGACCGAAAGAGTCCCAATTTTAACAGATGGTGCCATGTAAACAAAGGCAAGTATCAGTTGGCAAATGATTCAACTGTACATAACATGCATCGCCTGTTTAACGTTGCCGCCATCCAACACCAATATAAAATTTATCAACGTAATTTTAACTTAAAACTTATCAATGATTGGCGATAAGCTAAACAGCACATAACACAGACGAAGTCTTGCAGAGTTTAAGCCGATCTTTTGTAGCGCCCTCTGGAACTCTCTCAGGCAATTTTTCTCGAGAACGGTAAGAGGCTCAGATTAGAGAGCGACATATTTGGAATCGGTTCGATGTGAGCTTGCATCGTACGAGAAAGAAATCGGGGATCTAAAAATCAGACGAAACCTAACCTAACCACATTCTTTATCCTCATAATGATTTTTCTTGTAGACTCGCGCGATTAATGCGTTTAATTGCCGATAATTCGGCAAGAACGACGCAGCTCGCCGGACGAGGAGAGTTCGGTGGTCGGTTTTCTCATCGATATCTCTCGAGCGCGCGAGGTCATCATCGGATCAAGTCAGGCGTAGTCCACGTTCCTGCGGTTCACACTTAATTAAACCGCCATAGGAACTCGGGCGCCAGCACGTGGCGGACAATGCCGCGAGTCTTTAGCGACGATTGTTATGTAAAGCACACCCTATATATGCATCGCGCGGTTTCTCCCGTGTATCGTATCGAGACGAGAAGTACGTAGGTACTCGCGCCGGCCCGTTTTACCTATGTACTACGAGAGCAACGTAACTTTTTGGAGGCATCAGCCGCGATTCAGGCGGCTTCGTTTTTCGTCAGATAAAACGACGTGGCTCCGCCGCGCGGGTCGTACTCTCGGACGTTCTGCACCGAAGTGCGGTTCCTGCGTCAATCTTTCCGGCCGAGTCGGCTTATTCAAGTTGACGCGTGACACACGCGACAGCAACGAGGTCAAGCGTGCGCGCAAAGGCTGGGTCAATAGAAGAGCACGACTTTGAAGTGGCACGATTGGAGCGATAAGTACGCTGAGAAACAAAACGACTCGTCTAGGTAAAAATTACGGTTTCCTAATAAAAAAGTAGCGATGTAATGTAATGTTAGGTTATCAGCACCAAAGCAACATTTAACCATAAAAATGTATACCCCAATTATAATTCGTTCATTATGCGGTTACGGCCACAAATGCCAGATATTTTTTCTCAGTGTATGAGTGATTAGGATGAGGGTTAGGTTAGGTTAAGTTAAGTTAGATTCGGTCAGGTTAGGTTAGATGTAAAAGTGAGACGAAAGAGAAGAGTGGGGGTGGAAATACGACGATATCGATCGGGGAGAGAGCAAACCCAACGATCTCATCGTCCCGCTCTGTCGGGAAATATCTGTCTTCGGCTTCTTTACCTAGATTCACCCATCAGATTCGACGAGATGCTTTTGCTAGCGTACAAAAACTGCGGAAATCTGGTCTACCGAGCCCTGATGAGATAGTCATACTGGCGAACCCAACCAGTCGCCGAAGGCACATCGATACCATCGTGATGCGCGACGATTGTGAGAATTCAAGTAGCCTTAGCTGCCTCCGCTCCCCCCGACACGGACGACAAAGGGAGAAAAAGTCCAAAGTGCCGGTGCGTTTCCGGCGGGGTTTGTCGTGCGACGACGACTCTACGAGCTGTCTGAAAATCCCCCCACGCGGTCCCACTCCGTCGCGAAAGCTTCGGCGGCTTCCTCGCCGTCTATCTGGATTGGACCTCGTGGAAAAGCGGCATCGCGGGAAAAGCCACGGATTGGCTGCGGGGCGAGGCTTGCGTCATGAGAGAAGCGTCGTGTCCGCGGACGCACGTAGGACACCTAAAGCTCCACCTACCTTCTGAACGTGAACTGCGGAAGCCGCGAGTGCAAACTCGAGAACCGAGAGCCGGCCTCGAGAGGGTGGGCGCGCGTGTACTCGCGACGAAGAGCGCCGTCGAGAGAGCTCGTCGTCGGGCTCGTTAAGCAGAGGAGAGGAAGATCGTTTCCATGATACGTAGTAAGATCGATCGGTGGTCGACAAGAGCGTCGTCGGGATCGGATAAGCCTCGGCCGTTGATGGACAGAGACAACGTCCCTTCGAGCGAGGAGCTCGCGGACAGAGAGAGACTCTCATAAAGTTGACAGAGAGGGAGAGAGAGAGAGAGAGAGAGAGAGAGAGAGAGAGAGAGAGAGAGAGAGAGAGAGAGAGAGAGAGAGTGGTGAAAGAGGTCGAAGAAGAGAAGGGCAAAGAGGAGCGTGCGCCTCTTAGGTGGGAGTCGCTCGGCCAAAAGAGGGAGGCTCGCCTCCGGAGGGGAGCCGCGGCTGCTGGAGTGCGGGTAATTCGAAAAATAAGTCTCCACGGGCGACAAGCACACTTGACCGAAGCACACTCGAATCGGAAGGGTCGAGCACTCGCGAATAACAATTAATAACGCCAGCCGACCTCAGCCAGCGGTCCTCCGCGGGCAGACGCTGCTGGAGAGGGCCTTCCGGGGATTATGTGAACGCGTCTCTGCGAGGGCGTCTAGTACTCGTCCGTCAATCCTTCGTCCCGACGGCAGATGCTGGCTGGACGCGGAAGTGAAAGCATGACTTACTGACGAGGTCCCACGTAAAGTCGCTGCGGCCTCGTTCACGGCGAGACTTCGTGAGTGCGGAAGGTCCGGATCGCCAAAGCGAGCAGCCGAAGGGTGCGTGAGGGAGGGACAAGGTCGCAAGGCTGGCAGACGATGGCGGTGGCGAGCGAGTCTGCAGACTCGTCGTAATGACATGTGACGCGACGAGTTCGCGTGTGCGTGGACACTCGACTGTGCTTGTCATCAGTTATGAGAAGGGCGAGCGAGCGGCTTTGAGGGAGTGACGCTGCGGAGAGAATCGTCGTCGTTGTGAGACCCGCGGGGAAAGGAGACGGAGCGTAGAGAAGTGATGGAAGACGAGAAGCGCAGCGAGACCTCGCCGAAGCCCTTCCAGCCGACCCCCTTCAGCATCGCCGACATTCTCAGCCGTGAGACCTCCTGCGTGGAGCCGAGGAGATGCGACCTGGAGAAGATCCAGGCCGCTGTTTTCGCGCCGACCAAGAGGCACAGTCGAGAATATGAGCGTGCGGAGCACGAGCACCCGGACGGCAGCTACGAGCACGACCAGGTGATCCACTACCCGAGGCTGCCCACCCCGGAATTGGGCACGGTGCATGAGCTGGACATCTTGAGGAGGAACCTGGCGCAAGTGAACCTATCGAACTTTGGCAGCGCGCACTTGACCCAGGGGACTTTCAAACACCACCTTGAGGCTCTGGGAAATCTGACGGCCTATCAGCCCGTCAAGGAACCGATGGAGGCCTCTCACAGGCAGCAGGACGAAGCGTTGGACATGAGCAAGAACAAGTACTTAGGTGGGTGTTACTGTTCGCGTGAGGCAACTTTCGCTTGCTTGTCGTGAGACTTTCCGCATGGCAGACCGGTCCTAACGATACTTATCCGAAGAATCGGCGATACCGTCAGTATCGGATATCAGCCCATAAGTGATTGGGAACACGATGACCACATGAGTACAATTGAAGGTAGACGTGTGCATAAGGTGACTGGTTTCGTTGAAATTGATGTATCTTGCGGTGATGATTGTTGGAAGTGACTCGCAAAGGGAACCAAGTGGGGGACGATGTTATTTGCCGAGATATAATATAAATGAACGTTTAAATTGAATGAAGTTTAAAATTTTCGTATTTAATTCTAGATGTCTAAAGTTGATCTTACTCACAGTACACAGTTTATATAAGCCGTATCAATCACTTAGCGAAAAATGTATATGTTTACGTTACTTGTAAGACGGTTGTTGACAATCGTCGTGTATCTCAAGTAGTTTGCGAGCAGCTTTCCAGTCAGAACCACAACGTTGACTCAAAATTGATTCGACGTCGATAAAGGTTGAATTAACGTTGATTCATTGTTTCATACACCATTTCAACGTCAAATCAACGTCGAGTCAACGTTACGGTTCTGACTGTATTTCGTTATGCGACTGCACGAAATAATTTGTGTGGTCACATGTTGAAAGCTACTTAAATATTGTCGGTGACAAGTAGACACGATCGTCGAAAATATAATCATTATTCTCTAAAATAATATAAACAAATATTTCTTTTGTTTTTACGGGACGAGGAAGAGATCAATGCGGTGCATACAAACTTTGTACTGAATGCAACGTCAATTGCAAAAGTATGAAAACGTTAAATTCCAATCCATAATTATATCTGAGCAATCAGTGTCGTCTCCCACCTGGTTCTTTTTGCGAATCGCTTTCAACTATCATTCATACAATGTGTATCAATTTCAACCAGATCGGTAGGTCTCTTCGTCACCTTTTCTATATATTTACCACCCATCGATTTTTCTTATTAGAACGAATCTTTGAATTCAAGACGTGACCTGTGCAGGAAAATTTTTTACCCAACGACACGTGAAATAAAACAAAATCAATTACGATTCATAGTTTAAGCAACAACACGGAATCGCAACGAAACATATGAAAAGATTCGCCTTTGCGGAAGTCCAGTAGGGGTTTTGTGATTCGAAACTTTCGGCCGGCAGCGTATATTTCCGATTACATTGAAATATTTCCCTCTCAACTGATGATGACCGCGTTTGGATTTTCAAAAATGCACAATTGCTATATATCGGAGAGTTTAGCGGAAGCAGAGAATAACAAAATCCAAAGCACTCCTCTGCGAGACATCGCTCGAAAACCTCGTCAATGTAAATCTACAATGAGCTTTTACGGGGCCAGGGTCGTTATTAGACACGCGCACTGGAAGTGTTCGGGAAAAAAGAGAGAAACAATTAAGCTTCCTGAGAACGGAGCGCGATGGGCTCGATAGGCCAAACCCGCCGAGCGGAAACGGTATCCACGGTGTCCCGAAAAAAAGCGTCGGGCCGCCGTCGGAGGATCTTACGTCGCGGGCATGAGGATGTGGGCTTGAGAGGTCATTCTCGAGCAGATATCCGCGTAACAGGCGAGCTCCTTTCAAGGGTTTTTAAAGTTAACCCGAGCGCGCAGATAACGTAATTGAATGTAATTTTAGTAGCATAAGTGGCACTCGAGGCGGCAGACGTCACGAGTACCGGCTACTCTACTTCTTGCACTTGTTCGATCTCTGGCCACACTCTGCCGCTGTCTCGAGCCATCCATCCATCCACCCGTCCAACCAACCAGCCAGCCAGCCAGCCAGCCAGCCAGCCAGCCAGCCAGCCAGCCAGCCAGCCAGCTAGCCAGCCAGCCAGTCAGCCAGCCAGCCAGCCAGCCATCCATCGTACCATCCATCCATCCAGCCAGCCATCCATCCATCCAGCCAGCCATCCATCCATCCATCCATCCATCCAGCCAGCCATCCATCCATCCATCCATCCATCCATCCATCATCCATTCATCCATCGAGAGCTCATGGATTACCTCAAAAACCGTTTTAGATCAAGGTTACGATCGCTAACTGTTGCCGAGTAAACGCCCGCGATTGATTTATCTCGTGACAGATGTGGCGTTAGTTTGCGCGCTACACGCCACGCGGATCGCAATAATTCTTGCTTAATCGTTTGCATCCGCTTACACCGCGTGGCGTGTAAACCGGTCGCTTTTCGCGCCGGGAGACTCCGCCGGTCATCTCTCGCGCGTGCGAGACCCTCCCTTATCATTTTTCTCTCCACCACCCGTTGTATTCACTCTCGTTGCCGCGACGCGAAGGGCGGATATAGAATTACATCGTCCAGTAGTGTTATCTCAGTGCGAGAGCAAACAGATACTCTCCCCTCTCTGTGGGGCGCTTCATGAAATCATACGATGATCAACAGCCTTCACAAAGCACGCTCGCGCACGGCTCCGATTCTAAGGGAGGATTCACACCTCGGCAAAAAAGCAGATAGCAAAAAGGCAGCAGCCAATCAGAAGTCGCGCTGGTAATGTATCTCTCTCTTGAAAGAGAGACAGAAGAGAAGGACAGACTATCAGCGCCACTTGCAATTGGCTGCTGCCTTTCTGCCCAGGTGTGAATGCGCCCTTAGGGAGAAAAGCAGAAAAGCAGCCAGTCAGAAATGGCGTCTGTCTCTGTCTTTCGAGAGAAAGACAAATTATCAGCGCGAGTTTTGATTGGCTTTTGCTGTCCTGCTTTCTGCTTTTCTGCCCAGGTGTGAATGCGCCCTAAGGGAGGATTTACATCTTGGCAGAAGAGCAGAAAGTAGAAAGACAGCAACTAATCAGAAGTCGCGCTAGTAGTCGGTCCTTTTCTTCTGTCTCTTTCTCAAGAGAAGGACAGATTACCAGCGCGAGTTCTGATTGGCTGTTGCCTTTTCGCTTTCTGTTTTTCTGCACAGGTGTGAATCCTCCCTAAGGGCGCATTTACACCTGGGCAGAAAAGCAGAAAACAGGAAGGCAGCAGCTAATCAGAAGTCGCACTGATAATCTGTCTTTCTCTTGAAAGACAGAGACAGACTATCAGCGCCATTTCTGATTGGCTGCTGCTTTTCTGCTTTTCTCCCTAAGGGCGCATCACACCTTGGCAGAAAAAACAGAAAGCAGAAAGGCAGTATCCAATCAGAAATCTATCTACTCAAGAGAGAGAGAGCGCGACTATCAGCGCGACTTCTGCCTTTTTACTTCCTGCTTTTCTGCCAAGATATGAATCCGGCCTGCTGCTTGTCAAAGACGAACGTTCGATGGACAAAGAGGACCAAAACTCTCTCGGAGCGAGTAACACGCAGCGACGGAGGTTCTCGTCTCGTAGTCTATCGCGATACGCGACCTTTCACGTCTCATTGAGATAACATGGCAAGCTCGAGTAATCGACTTTACGCGAGAGCAGCGCTTCCTCTCGAGTGAAGGATCGTCACCCGAAACCGCACGAGCCGCGATAGCGTATTGTTTGCAGTGGCTGCTCGCGGGGCCGAGGAGGCAGGCACGAGTTGGCACCGGTTCAAGGTGTGCACTCAGAAAATTGCGAGTCCTCCGCCGAGGGGAAATCTCTCCAGTCATTTAATATGCTAATGGACGCGGCAACGCGCGAAGGATCCGCGTTGTCACGGCGAATTTGCCGCGCGTAACCTTTTATTAACGCTTCTGGCTTGCGCGGCCGCCGCGGAAATTCTTTCCTGCGCTTCCGCTGCCGCTTCGGCGGCGGGGGCGGCCGAAAAGCTGTTTTAGTGGTCTCGAAGGATCATCGGTGTAATCAGAGTCAGTCGACGCCACTTGCTCGTCTGGAAGCGAACTCGCTGTCTCTCTCTCACTCCCCCCCCCCTCTCTCTCTCTCTCTCTCTCTCTCTCTCTCTCTCGCTTCCTCGATATAGCCGCGCTGTAGGATGTTTGACGAGCGCCGAAGGATGGACGCATTAGCCGGACGAGATGGCATCTAGTTGACGTCGAAAGTGATCAAATATAGATCTCTCTAAATGCTCCACGTCCCCTGCCGACCGCCGCCGATAAACATTGACGTAGGATGAGCGTTTTGAGCGCGAAATCATTACGGTATCGTGTCGGGGACCCCAGCGATGGCTCAGAGACACGTATCGGTTGAGAAACGCTTTGAGGAAAGGCGAGGCTCGCAATCTCGCATGACCGATTCATTCGGAAGGGGAGTCTGCTTCGTATGTTACCCCTTTTGTCCTTGAATATAAATTTCTTTCCTCATATGAAAGATAAGACGCAGGTCGGCTATTTCGAGGTCGAACTGAAGACTTTTTGTGAAAGAAATGAAATATTATCTATTAAGGGTGAGCGAGGAAGGGGTGGTTAAAAAGTGAGGCTTGCAATCTCGCATCACCGATTCAGGGAGGGGAGTCTCCTTCGTACGTTACCCCTTTTGTCCTTGAATATAAATTCCTTTCCTCATATGGAAGATAAGACTAAGGTCGGCTGTTTTGAGATCAAATTGAAGATTTTTTGTGAAAGTGAAATTATTTGTTAGGATTGAGTAGTAAAAAACGAGGCTCGCAATCTCGCATGACCGAATCAGGGAAGGGTGTCTCTTTCGTATGTTATTCCTTTTGTCCTTGAATATAAATTCCTTTCCCTAAATTGAAGATAAGGGAAAGATCGGCTGTTTCGAGGTGGAATTGAAGATTTTTTGTGAAAGTGAAATTATTTATTAGGGGTGAGCGGAGAGGGGGTGGTAAAAAAACGAGGCTTGCAATCTCGTATCACCGATTCAGAGAAGACAGTCTCCTTCGTATATTATCCCTTTTGTCCTTGAATACAAATTCCTTTTCTCAAATCGAAGATAAGACAAAAGTCGTTTCGAGACTGTTTCGAGGTCGGATTAAAGATTTTTTGTGAAAGTGAAATTATTTGTTGGGGAGGGGGGGAAGACGGCATATATGTGTACCAACCGGTAAGAAATGAAAGCTTCTGGATTCTCCGTCTCTTGTTGATCTTTTTTAGATGTTGAGACTTGCCCAAGATCTCTCATCAGCTAACTTCATACACTCATTTTCATGTTTTGTCTCATCATTAACGTTGCTGCAGAGATGATGAGATAGGATAAAAATAAAAAAGAAATAATAATAACAATCGTCAGAAGATCCAGAAGAAAAATCGAACATATTATGTTTAGCAACTCCGATACTCTCCAGCTCTCTCTGGCTCAAAATTCTCCTCTTCATCTTCACACTGAAATAAAAATATGTCCATCAGAACTGTTGGTAGACACGTGTGTACCGGTAGAAAATCCGGTTGGTACATATATAGATTGAAAATATTTACCTATGGTACCTATGTGTACCACTCGGGACGAAAAAATTGAAACGATACGACGAGTCCGCGGACCCGTTTCGAGGAATCAGCCATGTCAGCTTGAGAGGCGCGCGAGCGAGCTTTACGTTGCGCGATCGGCCGCTAATTAATCGGGCTAATAATGCCGGAGAAATTGCGGAGATTGGCTGCCGTGTGTGCAACGGCGGAACGGCGACTCGCAAAGTAGCGGAGCGAGCGCGTTGCCAAGTAGAAGAAGCCAGTCTGATCTCTGCAGTATGATTGTACTCTAGTGCCACTGGTTAAACTTAGAGGAGAATTACCGCGGAACACGAGCGTAAACATGTCGGAGTAGCGAGTACATGTGTTAATGTTTGTGCGAGACATCAAAAGCGACGAGGCTTCCCTTTCTCTTTCCCCCTCCGATCGCTCGCCGTTCGTCCGTGCGCTCGCTCGCTGATGGTTACTCCGAGCCTTTCTGGGCGGGGGGTGGGATGGGTGGGGGGGGAAGGGTTAAACGATTGCTCTACGGTGTACGATAGTTGCAGATTCTCGCGCGAATCTAAATATTTATCCGCAAACGAATCCGCACGGCGAGCTCGCGTTAGTCGGGAAAACACGTCGGCAATTTCGGCAAATTTGCTTCGTAGAATGCAAAATTCTGTTTCCTTCGAGAAAACGCGCTTGGTTCGTTCGTTGTCGCGGTACTTTGATCGACTTTTTTTCTTCCGCGTGTGCAATTATCGAGCTTAAATGTGAGAATCTTGTCGGGAAACTTGAATATGAGAATTACCTTAGAATTCTCACGGAAAGCTCGTTGAGACGCGCTCGTCTTCGTCGCCCTGCGCTCTCGATTCGTCGATAATCGCTCGTAATTACGCTCGAGTGCGTCCATGCGGGACCACACCCGCGTTGAGTTTTGCGAAATCCTCCTTGAATGTTTTCCAGACGAGACCGAGGACGACGCGTACGAGTCGCAGAATCCGGGCCAGAGTTTGCAGAGCAGGAAGAAGCGCAGCAGAGCGGCGTTCTCGCACGCGCAGGTCTACGAGCTCGAAAGAAGATTCGCCGCTCAGAAGTACCTGTCAGGTCCCGAGAGAGCGGATCTGGCACGCGGCTTGAAGCTGACGGAGACGCAAGTGAAGATCTGGTTTCAGAATCGACGGTGCGATCTTTCGTCTATGCGTTCTCGCACACGGGGAGCAAAGATTGGGAGAATTAACGCTCACGTCGGTGAACAAAATCGGCGTTTCGCTCGAGGGAAATGGAATTCCTGGTTCTTCGAGGAAATTGGTTCTGAGAAGCGGATGTTCTGTCTCCTTCTAGCGAGAAACGCGTTCGTTCATCATCTCTCGACGCATCATCTCTCGACTGGTCCTTTCCCTAGTAGACAATTATCGAACTTGAATATGAGAATTTTCTCGAAAAACACTATAAATTTCTTGCAATTTTTACTTATAAGAACCAGAAATGTTATTTTCTTTGACAAAAACGCTCTCAGTTCGTTCATTGTCGCGTCACCTCAACCAATTTTCTTTCTCTAGATAATTATCGGATTTGAATATGAGAGTCTTTTCGGCAAATTCATTGGCAATTTTGGCAAATTTGGTTCACAAAAAGCAAAAGTTCCGTTTCTTTCGACAAAATGCGTTCGGTTCGTTTATTATCGCGGTATCACGACGATCTTTTTTGTCTGTGTGTAATTATCGAATTTAAATATGAGAATCTTGTCGGAAAACTTAAATATCAGAATTTTCTCAGAAAATATTATAAATTTCTTGTAAATTTGGTTCATGAGAGCCAGAAATTTTCTCAGACGAAAACGCGCTCGGCTCGTTCATTGTTGCGTCACCTCGATCAATCTTTTTTCTCGGTAGATAATTAATGAACTTGAATATGAGAGTCTTTTTGGCAAACACATTGACAATTTTGGCAAATTTGGTTCATAAAAAGCAAAAATTCCGTTTTCTTCGACAAAATGCGTTCGGTTCGTTCATTATCGCGGTATCACGACGATCTTTTTTCTCTGTGTATAATTATCGAACTTATCGAAATTATAATTATCGAATTATCGAAATAGAGAATCTTGTCGGGAAATTTAAATATGAGAATTTTCCTAGAAAACACTATAATTGCTATAAAATTATTAAGAAAGCTATAAAATTCTTGCAAATTTAGTTTATAAGAATCGGAAATTCTATTTTGTAGACGAAAACGTGCTTGGCTCGTTCATGGTCGCGTCATCTCGACCAATCTTTTTCTCGTTAGATAAATACTTGAATATGAGAGTCTTCTCAGAAAACACATCGGCAATTTTGGCAAATTTGGTTCATAAAAAACAAAAATTCCGTTTTGTTCCCTGAACAAAACGCGTTGGATTCGTTCATTGTCGCTTCACCTTGACCAATCTTTTGCCCCGTGCAAGCTTGACAATCTCATCATCCGGCTCTCTCATTTGTCGTCGTCCAGTCGCGATTTCACGCTAAATTCCTCTCTGATTTCAGGTATAAAACCAAGCGGCGCCAACAGCAGGAACTAGGCGCCCTCGTGAATTCCGGAAGCGCCAGGCGCGTGGCAGTGCGCGTCCTGGTACATCCGGAGGAGCATTTGAGGGGATTGCCTCTTCGTGGTTCCGGCCAACTTCCCGGACAAATGTCGAGCCCGCAGATTCACCCGGCGAACAAAGCGCTCGGGAGTTTCCCGTATTGTTATCTGCCGTATCACCCGCTGCTCTGTCCGCCCCTGCATGCCACCCACGTTCAGGTACAAAGCGCGATCACGCCCGACTTTGGGCCGGGCCAAATCTCCAAAATCAAGGACGAGAAGTAAACGGCCGGTCGCGCTCTCGCGAGCATCGAGCGTCCTCCGGCTCATCGAAATAAAAATGACGTCGGGCCGGCATCTGGTGACGTCAAAAACCCCGTCGTTTTCGGGACGATATCTTAGATAGACCTGTTGTGCGAGAGAGCTGCTCGTGGAGAGAATTTATGACTTCTTTCCCGAAAGAAGAAACCCCGAAAGGAGGAACGAGCCGAGATACTCGACGGAACAGCGCGCGCCAAGCTCCATCGGGCGAGAAAGTCACGTAACATGTAAGCTCAGCTTGTATTTACTTTTTAGACACCGGTCTCCACACGCGAGAACACCTGCCGAGCTTCCTAGCGTCGTGGTGTGACACGCTAGTAACATTAATCTACCAGTTACTTCGTAGAGCTGACCGAGAAAAATCGCCGATCACCTTCACTCCTTCGTGTTTGTTGTGCAATTCAACGACGGAAACACAGGAACGATCGTGTAAATTAGCCTGTAAATAAGTGTATAAAATGCGAGACGAGAGGGAGGGGCAGCTGCCAAAATTTACTCAACATTCACGCCTCGCGGCAGGATTCCGTTACGCAGAATCGCGAAGATGTCGAGCCTTCCCCGCGAGCTCTTTCGTCGAAAGGAGGTGCGAGGCTCGGAAGTAGGCGCGTTTTCTTCACGTTTCTTCTCTCGACAGTCTGCGACTCTCCGAGATTTCAGCGATACGCTTCGTACGCTAAACACGAGGACGTCGTCCGAAGGACGTTGCGTATGATCGTCAAGTGACAAGTGGGAAACTTCCTTGAGTTACCGATCCAGCGAGGCCACGCGGGTGCGATGCCAAAGACGTAGATTAAATACTTCACGCTAACGACGAATTTGTTTTCCGACGTGCCACCGGGGTGTATCCTGCTCGAACTCAAGCTATTGTTCCTGCTGCACACCGAGATGTGGTCGCGCAGGTGTCTTGAAATATACGTGTATCGTCTGTGCTACGAAGGACTTTCTTTTCTCAACACCTCCTCCCTCCCGCCTGCCCACTTCCCGAGATCCTGCGAGAACTTTCGGGAAGGAAGCGCGTCGCCATGTTGCAGGTGGAAAATGAGCTTCTCCGCGCGACGTTGCAACCGACTTTCTCATAAGGGTTTTAATGGCAGCGTCTGGGTGGGCCCGGCAGACATCAGATATGTTTATTCAGACGCGGAGAGAGAGAGAGAGAGAGAGAGACGAGCAGGCTTAACCGACAGACGAGAAAAAACCTAGATCTGACACTCATCTGTTGTAAACAAAAGCGTTACATCGCCCTCGGCGAAACCTTTCGCATCCTATCCTCGTGGGCCGCTTTTTCAGCGTCGAGCAGTTAGCAGTGCTCGATTGATTTGTTATCGTGAGCGCTGATGCGCGCATTATTCCTCTCTGCAAATTATTTACATACACGACGCGCGCGTTCCGACGTTGGTGAGCAAATGAGGACGGATCAGATTGAACGAATTCTCCGCGCGGACGCGATTCGACGTTTTAATTCCGGCGGCCGGCGTTCGCTTCGCACAAACGATACACGCAGCCGCCGAACGTGAGATCGTCTATTCGCGTTCGCTTCATAAAATTGTATTTTTGGCGCTTTGGAGTATCAACAAACTGTAGTGGTCGGTGCAATTTTCGTGACGCAAGCCGCAAATTATTACGACGAGTTCCGACGTTAATAGCGACTGCACATCGACACAACGGCCTCGTTTAGAGCAAGAGCATTATGGCTTTAGAATGTTTAGAACCGTTCTAAACGGAGCAATAATGGACTGCAGAAGCGACTGTAAAGCCTGCGCCCCGTCGATTTTCCAGCGCGCACATTCGGACTACGAACGCGTTGCAGACAGAGGACGCGTTAATTGCCACGATCGAAATACCGCGTCGACTTTCCGATAAATAAATGTCGGCTCGAGTAGAGTGCTATATCACGCGATATAATTTCAAATTATCAAGATTAAGCGAGTTATTTCAAGTCATCCTCGTCAAATGGGCTCCGCGTGACGAAAATAAAAAAAAAATTGTCTCCCCAAGTATTTTCATTCTTTCGTTTCTTTCAAATGGACATTGCACGAAATTATTAGGTGTATACAAAAGTTTTAGTCTTTTTTCAGCTTTCTAATATAATTATTTTAAATTGAAATATTTTCCCACCATTTTGTGTTTTCGCAAAGTTGATATCGAACTTTGCAAAATGCCATTCATTATGATGATTATTGGTGCGCGTAACCTTAAAAATAACATTTGAATGAGCAACGAAAAATTTTATATTCGACACTGCATTAAATATGAATTCTAGCGAGGAAAAAATGTTACTGGAGCATGTGCATCCATTTGCTTTGCTTTTTGGAAAATATCGTGTTCCACAATGCGTGCGAATATTGCTTTCATCGCTTTAACCTTTTAACGCCTACTAGTAACTATAGTTACCAGAAACATTTAAACATTTAAAAATCCATAACTTAGTCAAAAAAGGAGATATTTTCGTTTCCTTTGCACCACTGTAAAGGTGTATTCTTCTTCTAAAATGTGATATATAGATTGCATGTAGATTCGGTTTGGTATGTTTTCAGCTCAGTTTTAATGATAACATGTTTTGTCAAACTCCAAGTAGGCATAGTTAGCATTATTACTGACATCTAGAAGTGCACTATAACTGAATAGATTGGCATTGGTTATAATTTTATACATTTGGAAGCTTTCTCAGATGTAAAATGTGAAATTAAAAGAATACAGCAATTCAAAATAGCGAATCCAATATGGTGGACATGAAAATCAAGAAATCAACCTATTTTCGTGAAACCTGGTGACTTACAGTTTTTTATGCGGCGAAAAATGAAGGGACGATTGACTATCTAAATGGTGATCTATTCTTCTGAAATAGTAAACTTGACACTCTGAATGATAAACTTCACTCATAAATATTATAGTAAAGTTTCAGCTCAAAAATGTCAAGCTGACTATCAGAGTTATGTCGTATAGATTACCCTTCATTTTTCTCTGTATAGGTATTTTCTCTGTAGGCTCATTTCGTATATGCTTTTAGGATCCAAGTCATATTTACCAATAAACAAATAAAAACTCAAATTTTTACACTTATAAAAAAGTCGGTCGTTAAAGGGCGTTAAAGACGGTAATTTTGACGTGAGTGATCGTTCGTGCTTTGAAACGCCACGAAAACTCGAGGCCAATTTGGAGGCGATGTTGTATGAAAACCCGTCCCAAACGTAAGTGAAACTTGGAGAACAGCTCGGAGTTAACCAAGCAATAGCTTCAAGGCAACTGCACGAAATGGGAAAAATTTAGAAACTCGGGAAATGAGTGCCGCATGAATTGCCGCAAAACAGCATTATCCGCCGGTTGAGTACATGCGTTTCATTGCTTTCCCGACAGCGCAAGAAAGATTTTTTGTCGACAATTGTTACTGGCAATGAAAAGTGAATTAGGTATAATACGCTTAAACGCAGACATTCGTGGGTGGATCCCAAACAGCCCTCTACATCACAGTGACGAAACCAAATATTTACAGCAAAAGGATTCTTTTGTGTTAGGTTATGTGCGCCGTTGAATCATAATGAATGGCGTTTTAGAAAGTTCAATACTAACCTTACAAAGACACAAAACGGCAGGAAGATATTTCAATTTAAGATAATTACATTAGAAGGCTGAAAAAGAATAAAACTTTTGTATAACCTAATATACAGAGTGCCCGGAATTTTTTGGAAATGAAAAATTGTGAAGATTAATCAGATCGAACTGAGAAGAAAAATACTATATTGCAAAAATCGCAACAGTTTTATCAAGTTATTGATAATTGGAAATAACCAGAGAATCTAGAAGCTTCTTTAACTTGAAAATTTGCGTATTTATTTGCAAAATGGTAAAGGACTTTTTTGTCCAAAATGACCCAATCTACAATTATATGATAGCTATTATGTCTAATGATGGATATGAATATATTGAACTTTGAATCCTGAATCTTGAACTTATTGCCAGGCACAAGCCGTCGTATAATTGTCGATTAGGTCATTCTGAGGAAAAAAAGTCCTTTACCATTTTGCAAATAAGTACGCAAATTTCCAAGTTATCAATTAAAAGAGCTTCTAGATGTGGTCATTTTCAATCATTAATAACTCAATAACTATTGCGATTTTTGCAAAATGGTGCTTGACTTTTCTTCTCAGTTTCATCTGATTAATCTTCACAATTTTTCATTTCCAAAAGATCTCGGACATCCTGTATATTCCCCATTAAGATATTGTTACGGTATACGAATTGATCGGCTATGTCTAGTCGGTGGACGTTTTCCTGGGAAGGCTATCGGAGCGTAAGTAGAGAATATATGGGCGTGACGAGCGTTTTCAACCCTTGACTGAGAAATTCGCCATCGACGTGGCTGTAGCGAGCTCGTAATTTGAAGCAGGAGTACGTCGAGCTTCGAGTGCACCAGCGCGGCGGACTTGTCTCGTAAAACGAGAAAGGAACGATTTAACGCTCAATCAACCGACGAAAGCTAATTTTCATTAGCTGTTAATAGCGCAAGACCACCCTCTCCCTCGATCACCCCTTCTGCGCCTTAACCCCTCGCTACGCTGTTCACTAAGCGTACGTCTTTCGTTTACGGAGAGAGCCTCGCGCGCTCGATGAATGATGCAACGACTCTAGGAAAGTTAATGCAAAATTTATCCACTTTCAATGATTTACATCAGCACTTTCAATGATTCACAAAGCGACACGATGACATGTAATCAAATAATAAGATGTATGTGCACGCGCGTGTATTTTAGGAATACGGTATTTAATAATTCCGGAGCAACATAAAATTAAGAACAAAAGTTCCTTCACAAATGCCTTCTTCTCCGAAGGATAAAAATCGAGCTTCTCGCAGGAAAAAAAAATATAAGTTCGGTTAAATATCACCCGCGATTAAAAATGACTGCGAGTGCAGCGGGAATCGAATTTACCACAGAAAGATCGACGAAGCGGGCGAGCAGGTTGAATTTCATTTAGAATATCGCACAGAACGAGCGATTCTCCCGTCGCGGCCGTGTAGCACAGCCATTATCAATTTCGCACGAGCCATTTGCGTGCGGGGTGAAAAAAAATCCCGACGCTTTTTCAGGCACTCGCGGTGTCTCTTACAATGGCTGCGAAATGGACGGAGCGAATTTAAAAGTATAATCCGAACGCGTTTTTCCGCGTAGATTCACGCGAGAAGCTATCTCGCGACGTTCCGTAAATTCGCTTGGGAATTTTCCTCAGCCGGACTGTCGGAGGACATTAAAAATGCAACCACGTGCGATAACAGGGAATGAAAGGGACGATCGTGAGAGAGAGAGAGAGAGAGAGCGGAACGGGCTCTCCTTATTCGCGCGAGCGAAACAAACGCGCGATGCGAATCCGGCCTCTTTCTCGTCTCGCCACCCCCTCCGAGTAATATAAACGGAATTGCCGGTTCCAAGTTTGAGATTTCAGTCGTTACTTTCGGCGACTCTGTCGTCACTTTTTCTCCTCTGCCTCTCTTATGTACCATTCTTCCGACTTCTGACACGCGTTTCAATTGGGCCGGTTGCCAAGGAAACGTAGGAGCTGGAGTGTCACATGGACTATTGAAGACGTTAAAGGGGACACCTCTCCGTTTCGCCGAAAACATTCGGAACGCGACGCCGGGGACAGGGATTTGTTTGTGTGTGGCTCAACATTGTTGAGTCCTGGCGTATTTCGGATTGGGCAGGTAATGGGCATTTTCTCGTCAAGAGAAACGCGAAACTCGGAGTCGCTGGACAAAAGTCGGGATGGCGATGAAATGAACAATTTTCGTGGCACTATTATCAAAGATTATTCTTATATTATTATTATTATTATATTATTTTATATTTTTATATTATTATTTATATTATTATATTATTTATATTATTATTTATATTATTATTATATATATTGTATAAACATTCGTCAACTCAATTTTCGGCCAATTTTTAGTTGTCCCGTAAAACGCAAAAAATAGCGTACGGACATGCATTATTTTGTGAGTGAAATAGGAGGAAGGATAATTGTCCAAACCGAAACGCCTCCTTACCGAGTTGAAAGACGAGACTGCTCCCGGCATATTTCTTCGACCTGCAGACATCAGACACACTTTTGCATGCGCTCGCGCGAACATTTCTCTCCAACTCGAAATTGACGCGTCCTCTACTTGGGATTTGCGGAGGTAGAAGAAAATCAGCCCGAGTACATCGCGGATCATCAAGCGGGTAACGACGCTTGAAGTCTACCAAGAGGAACTTGTCGGGCGAACTGCGGAGGGAACCGTTTCCTCCGCTTTTCCGGCATTTCAAAGAAGCAATTTAGCGATTTTTCGTGGCGAAGCGCCGTCGAGGAAAATTGGCGCACGAGCGGCCAATCAGCGCTGTTTCATGCAGGCCGCCGCGACTCAAAGAAATCCTTTCGAATATTTCGTGGACTTTTCATACTTACGAACCACAAAGTTAAACGTCAGTACTATCACACGTGCGATGGTGCTTCGATTGTCCTTGTACTTTGAGGACAAAAATATATCATTGATATTAGTTCACTGTGTGTGAAACGACTCATCGTCTCATTCAAGATATAATTTAGCAGCATAAAGGCGAGGGAAAGATAATCAAAAAAAATGTTGCAAGTAAAATTTGAACGCTGTTTCTAAATTAGAAATAGAATAACATGAAAACAGTGATGGAGACAATCGCGTGAAAAATAATCCGCTGTTAACGTCATGTCGATTGAAATTCACCGAACGTATGTCTTCTTCGAGAAGAATAGAAAGGACGATGCGTTTTTAAGATATCAATAAATTAAATGTCCTCTGCGTATTCAAGTGTAGAGTGCGGGACGTGTCAGTGGCAAAGGAACGTCAGCTGCGAGTGACAGTTTCGCAAGATGGTAAAGTAGGTATTCGGCAACGTTTCGTTGCTGAGGAAAACGGTTCAACGTCCCGCATGTGATCCCCCAGCACATTGCTGCAAGCAACGAACGGTTACAGTTTGACACATGTTGATAAAGCAGGCTGCATCTGTAATTAACGCGAATTAGCGTTATCTTGATTTTCACTGACTGACGTCGCTTACAATTGTGCAATTTCCAAGAAAATTCCTTTCTAAGTTGTCAAATTAAATATCTATATTTCGCTCATGCATGATAATCATTGATAAGATAAGCATATATTTCGAAAGTTGTTTCCATTTTGAGTGGTTTCAATGGGAGTACTTTCGCGCTCGCAGAATTCGAGAATCTCAATAATTACAAAAATAGAGCAGCGCGAAGTGACGCGTCCTGATTTTACGGATTTCAACCGGAGCAGATTCTCTTAGCCGATTATTGCCGCGACTAATAATTCGCCAAACATATGGCGACACATCTTAACGTAAATTGTTCTTTAAACAAAACGAAGAACGCTCAAATGTCTCGATCTTCTTCTTGTCACAGCGACGAATTCTGTTAATAAGGTGCAACAAGTCGCTTCCTGTTCGTGTTGCCCGGAAACGCTGACCGTAGGGAGATTAATCATTCGCGTGTAAAAGAGAAAAAGAAATAAAAAAAAAAATAAACGTACTCTCGCGTGTAATTAAGGTCTCTCGATTTGTGGACACTGATCCTTTTATGCATATGCTTGTCTATTTGCACAGCGTCGCGTGCTTTCTCTCTCGGGACCTCGCGGTCCCCCTTGGATTGCTTTACAAGTAAATAGGATCGAGTTTCTATGTTGAGCGTTTCGTGATTGATTATCTGAATACATGATATCGTAATGGACCCATAATGATTGGAGATGACATAGATATATACGGTGCACGCGGAGTGATGCATCGATGCGCGTTTTGAGTGTGAAAAACGCGAAATACGCGCTCGACGTTGAAAGGGTTGCGATGTCCATTTAGTCGCCGAAGATTAATAGAATCCGAATTCTCGGCTTGCGTGATAGCTTTACGTGAGACTCGACTACTTTCACTCGCGTTATTTTTGCGTTAAAAATTCGCTGGAATCTTCTCTCTCTTTCTCTCTCTCTCTCTCTCTCTCTTTTTTTCTTTTGTTCCTTTTTTCGATAATTCGTGGTCCTTTTTTGTTCTCAAGAGTAGATGCGCGTCTCAAGCGTGAAAAACACAAGAGACACGCGCTCGACGGGTTAAAAGGGTTAATCCATCTAGTCCTTGAAAATTAATAGAACCTTATTTCTACGCGTCTGATATACGAGAGTCGCGGATAAAATCGGTTTAGTGGTCTATTCCATATCCAGCGTACACCGTTAGCCGCGTTAAAACGGATACTTCACAAACGCTAGAATATATTTCGTCAAAAATCAATGCATCTTTAGGACAAGTTTTCGGAAATCAACAGCCACAGGTATTCCCAAAGTGTCGTCCTCATCCGCGATTCCTCGCTTGCTTTTTCCAAGACAGGTCCNCAACAGCACGGGAATCCTTCTGCCGAAGAAACGATACACGATCGCGATGACAGGATTTCGATCGTGCGAATCGATCTACACCTCGAGGCCCGTCGATGTCGCGAGCTTTATGTGGACAAGGCGCGGCCACGTGAGACTTAAAACATAAAATGAACAGTGACATTTTTATCAGCTTGTTCCCATGGCCCTTTATGGCAGCGGTAGCACCATGAACACGATTACACTGATGTAAATCGTCTATGTGGGCAGCACTTGACTGCCAGATGACCCGTCGTGTTCGCGCGATAACCTAAAAGGCGCCCATGGCTTCGCTCAAGCTGTCAGAACTCACCTATTTATAAACACCATTTCGCCATATTTCCGTATCGAAGCGCAAACTCCCGACGGGCGTGTTCGACCGGCTCGGGCCAAGTCGATTTCCTTCCGATGGGCATCGATCGATATCGATCGGCAGCTCGTGCTCGCGCGAGGATGTTCTCCGACGGAGGAGGAATGTGCGCTCAATTAACTAGCAACGGTCGTCATTCTCGTGATTTATTCCGCAGCCACGGATGAATTTTGCGTAAGCGCGTAACATGCGGAGATTCATGTCCAGCGCGAGCCAGAACGGTCTTAAGCCGTAATCACACTAGCGATTGCCGATTGGATTGCGACTGCGATTGGCGATTGGCGATTAAAATAGAGCATTGTCTAAACGGCAATCACCAATCTCAAACGATGCCTGTTTTGTCCTGATTGATTGGAAAGCAATCGCCAATCGCAATTGCAATCCAATCGGCGATCGCTAGTGTGATTACTGCTTTAAGGTAGATGCGTACACAAAGGGGACACTTGTTATGCTCGATATTGCGTTTAATAGAAAACCGAATTCACATATTCCTTCCAGCGCTAGCAAACTTCGCTGCTCACTCGGCGCGATAGCGTCTCGACGAGAGTTAATTTATTGCACAACTAGCGTCCGCACTTGAAAGTCGGAGGGGAGGAGGGGGGAAAAAAAAACTTTCGGGACACGCATAACGAGACGGAAAACGCTCGGTGTTTCCGCAAAGACCACTTGAAGCGACTTCCGCCCTCTTCTACGTGGCGCATTACGACTTTGGGGGGAAAATTTTAGCCGACTAAAAAACAGCTGCCAATCTACCGCCAACTTGTGCCCTAAGCAGCTCTCTTAACGTTTAAGGTTTACCGTTTACGTGTCGTAAGAATTTATGTGAACATACAGAGTATACACGCTGGATCAAGTTCCCTGCTTTCTTCATTGTTTCGAGTGGTTGAGTGTGTCGAGCAATTTATGCGCATACCTCTTTAAATAAACTTAAAGTATGAGATTAGCGGGTATCGCCCATCTTGATCATGTATCGGCCGCAAAATGGCCGCTTATAATACTTAATGGTACAAGTAAATCATTCTTAGACGACATTCTTTGCCGTCAACGTCGCCGTTCAATCAACCTCCCGCACCTGATCGGTAATGAATGGTCAATATTTATCGAAGACGTGCAAAGTTCAGCGCTGCTCAAAAGAATTCAAGAGGCGACCTTAAGGATCGATCGTAAATCGCGTGCTTGCCGATGAGAGCACGACCGAGCCGGTGAAACTTGACGAGAGCCCCCGCGTGGAGGCGCGCCTACCACAGTCGCTGCAGGTTCTGCTCCATGGGCACCTGTTCCATGTAATTGACGTATTGCATCTGGTAATTGGGCGGGCCGAGGTAGCCGGAGAAGCTGTAATCGCCGTTGGAGACATCCATGGGCATTCGCCTGTCGCTGACGAGCTGCTTGCTGTCGGCCGGGACTTGCTTTAGCTCGGGGAACGCCTCGTTGCCGCTCACGCACGCCTTGTACTCGGTCTTGATCAGCCGGTTGCAGTCGTGCACGCTCGGTGAGGCTTCCGTCGCGAAGTTGCTCCTGTACTCGGCGCTCAGGACGTGCTGCCTGTTGTCCAGCATGTCGCTCAGACTCGACCTGCCGGCCATTTCCGAGCTCAGTTCCGACTTGTACTCCGGACTGATGCTCGAGTCGATTCGCATCTCGCTCGTGGAGTTGGACCTGAAGTCGGGACTCAGGCGGATGTCGTTGCTCCTGAAGTCCGTCTGCATCGGAGCGGCCAGGTCCGGGCGGATGTTGTTCGGCCAATAGGGCCCGTTGTAGGCCTCCTGCACGTTGGGCTTGCCGTCCTTGATGAGGATCGGCACGGAGATCTTCTTCAGGGGCTGGCTCTTCATGCTCTGCGCCTGCAGCTTCTCGGCGTCCTCGATCCGGGCGCGCTTGTTCTTGTACCGGCGGTTCTGGAACCAGATCTTCACCTGCGTGCTGGTCAGCTTCAGACTCTGAGCCAGCATTTCTCTCTCGGGCGCGCTCAGGTATCTCTGCTGCTTGAAGCGCTGCTCCAGCTCGTAAACCTGTGTCTGGAAACGACCTCTGGCGCTTGAAATGCCTCTTAAGTAGCTTTTTAAATACTTGATATATTTTTTGACGGGAATAATACTCACAGGTGCTCTGATCAACATCTAAATAAGACTGTTTTGACGAAAATCTCTGGTCGAGCGACAATCACATTGCAAATCCGGCTGGTTATATTATCACGAAGCTTATTTATTTTCTTAGTTATTATTTATATGGTTCAGTTATTAAATTATTAATATATATACAGGGTGTCCTTTCGAACACGAAAAATTGTGAAGATTAAGCAGATCAAACTGAGAAGAAAAAGTCATATGCCATTTTGCAAAAATTGCAACAGTTGTTGAGTTATTAATGATTGAAAATGACTACATTTTTTAATTGATACTTTGAAAATTTGCTTACTCATTTGCAAAATGGTAAAGGACTTTTTTATTCAGAATGACTTAACCTATAATTATATGACGGTCTATTATGTCATTCTGAACAAAAAAGGCTTTTTTATCATTTTGCAAATTACACAAATTTTCAAGTTATCAATTAAAAGAGCTTCTAGATATGATCATTTTTAATCATTAATAACTATTACAAAATGATATTTGACTTTAATCATTATTAACTTAACAACTTTTTCAAAATGATATTTGACTTTTCTTCTCAGTTTGATCTGATTAATCTTCACAATTTCTCATTTCCAAAAGATACCGGACATATTATTAAGTATTTTGATTAATTTCGAGGGTCAACGATGATCGGATTGCTTTTAAAGCTGTCTTTTTTCTACTGTGGAAAAGATGGGAAAAGGTTGCAGCAAGGGGTGGGAAATATTTTGATTGAAATAATTTATAAATAACAAATGATAAATAATAAACATGCCTTTCATCGTCAAGCCTCAAAATTAATCGAAACGTCGCCGTGTTAAATATTAAGTTGAGTTAGTTATTAAATCATCATATATATTTATAAAGTTATTTATAAGCGTGTAAAATTGGCTGAAGCTTTTCTCACACGTTTTTTGTCATCTCGAGTCAAACGCGTTAAATGACGTCCAAACGAATCGACGCGATTTAAGACGAATGGAAACGCGTAGAGAAAACTTCAGCCAGTTACGACGCTCATGCGCGTCGAAATAACACATTCGGATTTGCAGTGCATGTGCGCGTTTAAATAACATACTCCGAAAATCATCTACAGGGTGCAAATAGTTGCGTGAAAACTCACTTGTGAGAACAACACTCTGGGCTTCCGTTTTGTCCTCTTGCCAGACTGGCTTTTGCGCAGTTCCGTCTTGCTAGATGTCACGATGTTGCCTAAAAACAGTCGTCAGAATAATTCTCCGTTCTATCGATGGTCGTAAATTCCGGTATTGTAAAACAAAAATTTGGAAAGCAATAATGACAGCTGGTATATTTTGCCGGCAATGTTCGATCGATGTAAAGTGCGTGCTGCTTCTTCGCTCCTCTCGAGATTCATTTTCTCTCGTCGAGCTTATTCGCTCTTTGACGATTAGCGTCTTTCTTATAAATTACATGATCACTATGTAACATCAGGAAGAAACACTTTGACAAATCGTGAAGAGATAGCGACTTCTCGCGCTACAATTATTGCTCTATTCGACTCGGTTGAAGCAACTCGCACAACTTGATACGATTCTGCCTCGTGAAATTGTTACCGACTAATTAGACGGGAAGCAAGAGTGGCCGGATTCTCGATAAAATTAGCAAAAGATACTTGACTGCTTACCGTCCTCCGTGATGGAAGTCTCCTGGTAAGGCGGTACCACTTGACTCAGCTGATGGACATGATTGAGATCCGAGTAATGCTGGTAACTGGGCATCGATTGCTCCTTAAATTTGTCAATCTCCCAGTTGTTCTCAGGCACCACGTTGTATGGGTAATAATCTTGGTGCACGTGTTGCTGCTGAGCCTGGTTCTGGTGATGCGGGTAGCAATCCATGATGCCGAGTTGCTGGTCTTCGTTGAGGATATCGCGAACGCTGAACGGAGTCGATATCGAAGAGGACAGCATTCTAAAGCATTCTTCTCGGTCTTCGATCTCGTGACGTTTCAAGGTCCACCAGATGAATATTTGATAAACGCTCGATGACCGATACACTTCCTCCCGCACTTCTTCTTAAAAGGCTTCTTAACTTTGAAGAAAACCTGATGACCAACTTTCGCTTCCACTTGGCACTCGTTGTCCCATCGGAGATCCTGATCCGATCGATTCAAGGTCTCGATCATCTACTCGATTGTTAATCCCCAAGATTTAACCGATGCCATAAATGTTCAACAAATCACGAGCTCGTCCGCAATAATCTTCGTCTCGGCGAATGGGATTGGGAGGACCCAAGCCCATAAGAGTCCTGGTTTCGCGTGATCGTGTCAACTGTTTGATTCACAAAGTCTCGGCAATTCACTCACGACGTTGTTAACCGGCGAAACTCGCTAACGACGCACAACAAAAGGCACACGTCACCGGGACGAGCTGAACGATAGGTGCGCGAACAGCCTTGCGAGCTGTAAAAAAGGCCAACGGGATTACAGCGCACGGTCGTTTATCGATGCTACTGGCGATCCTTGTCTCAGGGGATGGTCACGGTTGAGTGGTCGGGTCGGAGGGCAGACGTATAATGTGACTTGGTCTTGCAAGGGAGTCAAGTGTTGGTCCCGTCGCACAGGAACGTCACGGCGATACGCCGCTGCGAGCGTGAGGGTGCGTCGGTGTGCGGCCGAGGATTTTTACCGCCACCGACGCGCGCGCACATGTTTTTACGCCGATTTCGAGAGCATCGCGATTTTTATGGAAGAAGTGCGGGGAGGGGGCAGGGGGGGCACTCATGCTAATCAATCAGCAATGATCTCAACGCCATATGAAATGATGCATATTTGAGACGTCATTTTTTTCTAGGCAATTGACTCGAAATGCGCCAAATGCCTTCTGTGCGATTTATTTTAGTTCGTCAGTCATTACAAACATCGAGTTTTCTATTGTCATTCGTTTGCTTCTACACGTGAGTGTTTCAGAACAATCTACGTGTGATAGTTTGATCTTTCATTGCTATGAGGATATGTTTCAGAGAAATTCGAATTCTATTGTCAACTTTCTATGAATTACAATTGATTGTTATCGCTAATAATGTTAACAGAACGATAATAAATTTTCTAACCGTCGTAAATCGAGTAATCAATTTTCAAACAAATTACTATTAAAATTCTGAAATATACTCCAATTATCAAAAAATACAGGAGGATGAGAGAGAGAGAGAGAGAGAGAGAGAGAGAGGGGGAGGGGGAAAGAGACGGGAAAGTACTATTTGTTAAAATTATTTTTCTAAATATTCACGTACAGATGTCGGATGCAAGGAGGAATTTTATGTACTATTTTGCACAAAAGATCCTAAAACAATCTAAATCGCGGCTGATCATGAAGATCAATCGATCGAATCGCATACGGATGGCAAGCTGAAAAATTCTCGACCTACGTTCTACGCTGACAGAAATTGCAGAAATAAAAAGCAGCGAGCGACGACTTTGGCGTATAATAATTATCGGTATCGAAAGTGGCCGAATACGATGAGGAAGACGGCAAAATATGTTTTTGCGTCGCGACAGCCATAACCGCCGGTAACGTAAGGCGGAGGAGAATACGAAAGGCCCGCCTATATGAGAAGAACCCGACCAATCCAGACATGCTGCGAGTCGGGTTCTAAAAGTAACGATTAAACGATCATTTGCGCAATATGTTCCCCCTCTCGTTGTCTCCCCACGCTTAATCACCGTCGTTCTTCCTGGCTGCAACGTGTAGTGGTGATAGTTTGTACACTTGCACATTCCGACGACCGTATGTGATCTCGAAATGCAGCGGAATTCATCGCTGAAGTGAAACTGCGAAGAAATCGAAGCAACGACGATACATTTCACGGATGAGTAAAATAAAAATTTTCCTCGCGATGGAAAATATAAATGACAGAAGAGGAAGAGCTCAGAGTGATACCACATACATCTCCTCCAATTTCTAATTTTGCATATTATACTATATACTAGGTGCGCAACTAAGTTTCCGAGTTTCACACATGGATGGCGCTAACGACATGTGTAGTCGCCATACATGTCTGAAGTTGTGTTTTTTTTTATAGCTTGGACATCTGTTAACAATAACCAGTCGTAATACCAACACATATCGCAATGCGAAAATATTTTTTCTAACAACGAAGATGTCGAGTTTTGTGGCAAATAAACAGCATTTGCGGGAAGCTTTGCTTTTCTGCTTTAACTTGAAAAAAAGTGCAGCTGAAGCACGTCGTTTGCTTGAGGAGCGCCTACGGCGCACATGCACCATCGAAAACTACCTGTGAAGATTGGTTTAAACGCTTCAGAAGTGGCGATTTCGACACTGAGGACAAGGAGCGCTCCGGAAGACCAAAAACAATTGAGGACGCCGATCTGCAAGCGTTATTGGATGAAGATGATACGCAAACACAAGATCAACTTGCGGAGGCATTAAACATGACTCGCCAAGGTATTTCCAAACGTTTACATACCGTGGGAAAAATTCAAAAGGAAGGAAAATGGATGCCGCATGAGTTGACTGAGAGACAGATGGAAAATCGAAGAGTCACTTCCGAAATTTTGCTTTTGCGACATGAAAGAAAGAGTTTCCTGCATCGAATTGTTACTGGCGATGAGAAGTGGATATATTTCGAGAATCCCAAACGCAAAAAATCGTGGCTTTCACCTGGCGAAGTATCAACATTGACGGCACGGCCAAATCGCTTCGGAAAGAAGACAATGCTCTGCGTTTGGTGGGAGCAGAAAGGAATCGTGTACTATGAGCTGCTGAAAAGAAGCCGGGCGAAACTGTCGATGGGCATCGCCGACAACAACTGATCAATTTGAACCATTAATTGCTCGAAAAACGGCCAGAATGGGACACGAGACACGAACGAGTGATATTGCAGCACGACAACGCTCCGTGCCATCGCACTTCCATCGTCCAGGACACCATCAAAACGCTGAAATGGGATCTGTTACCGCACCCGCCGTATTCGCCAGACCTGGGTACCTATTGTGGAACTCGTCGGAATTGATTCCGATCGGAATAATTCCGTTTCCCCTAGAAAAGACAATAGAAATCTAGGAAATAACGGAATAAATTCGATCGGAATCGATTCCGAATTTCGAAGAAGTGCAAAATTGGTTGGATGAATAGTTTCGGTCCAAAGACGCGTCGTTTTATCGTCGCGGTATTCATGTATTGCCAGAGAGATGGCAAAAATATGTAGCTAGCGAGGGACGATACTTTGAATAAACCATTTTTTGTATTTCTCTTGAAATTTTCCATTTTTCATTGATCAAAAAAACCCGGAAACTTAGTTGCGCACCTAATATATTGAGAATGAATATAAAACTTTCTGTAATTAACTCGTATCTCACACGATGTGCCAGCGCTTTTTATGAATCCCTCGAATGGAAATTTATAAATTAAGAAAACGCATTGGCGAGTAATCGGGCATAAGACTATATATTTTTTAACAATAAAAATATACAGTAGCAAAGTGCGAAAAAAGAGATGTTGGTTATTCGAGAGAGACAGAAAAGTTTATTCCGCTCGGAGGATCTCTCACCGTCGGGGCAATCGTCGCTCCGAGCGGCGGCCAAGACTCAGATCGACGCGATTTCTGTCCGAAAGGAAACCGCCGACCGTCTAGACATCCAGATACACGCAATTGTCTGGACCACTCGTGAGAAAACGACGAAAATCGCTTCCGATGCTCCAGAGTGTAGAAACGCAGAGTCGAGCTGACTTCTTCACAAACGTAGGGAAGTCCTTGTCTGCGGCTCTGCAAGTCTGTAAGTTCAAATGCACCACGCTCCACGTTGACATTCGCGAGCACGTGGAGCACTTTAACGCAGTTCCGATGTAACACGACAGTTTTCGTAGATCACTCTTAGCGGACGTTTCGATCTAGCAGAAAGAGCTACACTTCCTCAACGAAAATCTCGAGGAATATTTCTACGAACGCTTATTTCCTGTTAGAATGAAAAAAGAATATTGTTCAATTGTCAATCAATTATCAGCTGATAGCATCAATTTTATGATATTTTATTCATTGCATTATATTGTATACACACGAAGAAAAATGTTTGAACGAATGAACAAATTTTCTGGTGAAGTATGAACGACTCAGAAATTTCGATTGAGAATACTAGAATTCTATTCGAGTCAACCAGAAATCTTAATCGTTCAGACCGAATTTTCATAACTTCCACGAGAATTTTCATCGTTTATATTTTATAAAAAGAAAAATTGTTTTAAATAATCAAACATTTTTTTATGTTTATTATATATATTAATATTATATATAGGGTGTTTAAAAAAAGAGTTTCAGACTTCAAGGATAAATAGTATGCAAAATGAAGGAAAATATTCTTAACAAACATGGGTCGAAAAATAAATATTGTCAGAGTTATGAACAATTATTTATTTTAATTAAAGGAAATGAGATTTGCTCGCTTCTGGCGTACGGCCATACATGAAATACATTTCTGCCATTTCTGGATTAGAATAATATGATGTTAATTTTACTTATTGTGAAAAATTTGTGATAGCTTTCTACAACTATTCATTGTTTACGAGGATATGTGACTAACAATTGCTTGATGAAGCGTGTGTATAAATGGGAAGAAAATAAATATTTATTTATATTCTAATAAAAAACGAAGAGATATTTTTAGGGATTCTTTTAAGATTCCTTTAAAGATATTTTTTTCACCGGTAATAGACAAATTACATGAAAGAATACAAAAACATCAGAAGCGAGCAAGTCACTTACTTTGATTAAAAAAAATAAATGTTCATAACTCTGACAATATTAATTTTTCGATCCATATTTATTTTAGGATTTTTTCCCTCCATTTTATGAGTATTAATTGTTCTTAAAGTTCTGAAATATTTTTTGTTAAACTGTCCGCGCAACGAATCGAAAATCATATTAAGCTTGTTCCGAAATCAGTTTCGGAAATTTTTGTTTTAGTTATAAGGTTAGTAGGCTTTAAACCAACTAAACGTGTTCCGTAATTAATCAGCTGGTCAATCATCAAGATAATAAAAGTAATAAAAAATCTATCGATTTCTCTAGTGTTACAAAATCTAATATTACAAAATCTAATATCCGAAAATTACAAAATTATTCTATTACAAATCCAATATTACAAATACACGTCTAACATTACAAAATTATTAGCTGAAACCAAGTTTGCAAACAGAAATAGTATATGGCCGTGAACGTCCAAGCGTGATCAGCTGATCAATTATGGCACGTATCCAAAGTTACCCAAGTTAGTTTAAAGTCTACCAACCTTGGAACTAAAACCAAAGTTTCCAAGACCTATTGGCTTCCTACTTCCACTCGCGGGATTTCCTTCCGGCCCATTATAGGTCCCACCGCAATCCACTGTTCGACGATGCGTGCCGGTCGTCGCGAAGCAGGCAGGAAAAGAAGCAGATTTCGAAAACGAGCAGACAGTTCGCCATGGGCGGCCCCCCACGACCCCCCACGAGTACGGCGGGCTACACGCCACCGTGCGAGATTTTTCTATAAACTGTACACGGATAAGGCGTCCGAGGCTGCACGCAGTTATTTGGATGCGAGAAGACTGCACAAAGGGCCCTTTTATGCGTCAA